TGTACCTCTCACCCCCCTTCCGTTTGCGGTCGTGAGTTTTTGGTCCGCGTGTTGTTCCGCCGGTTGTGGCCCCCGAGCATGAAGGTCCCGAGCCTTTCGAAGCCTCCCGCCCCGCTGAGGGGAGCGACACTTTTACACATCGAAGAAGCCCAGCGGCAGAGAGAGGCGGCCGAGGGGGGGGGAGGGAGGGAGGGATCAGCGGGATCAGTGCGGCCTCGGTCGCAAATCGACACGCCGAATGGAAGCCGACACGCACCGCTGATGCGCGCGTCGGGCATAGCAAACCCAGAGGGCGTGCTATGCGCTCAACCAGCCCTTGGGAAAGGGGAGGAGCAAAAGCTAAAAGAGGAACCCAAAGCCGGATTGTGCGATCCATGGGGCACGTCTTACATGGCGCCTCCTCATCGCCTCGGCTCGGTTCGCTCGAATTCGCTCGCGTTGGGACTCGCTGAGGAGGGGGGGAGGGGGCGGGAGAGGCGAGGGAGGCGGGGCAGGGGGAACAAAGGGAGAGGCGAGCCCAACGGAGCCTACGTACAGGTCCTCTTGGGTGGGGTCCTCGGGGGGGTCCAACCTGGGGGCCAGGCTGCCTGGCGGCTGGCTGGGGCCAGGGGGGGTACACTGTGACCCCGAGAACGCCAGGACCAGAGGGCGCCTGAAGCGCTCCCTCTCGGGATCAGGTCGAGAGCTCCTAGGCCCAGCCCGAAAATCCGGCGCCCAAGCAGCTCCCTCCTCAGGAATGGACCCGACGAAAAAGTCCCGAAGACCCTCCACCTCAGGACAACCCGGCTCGGTCTGGGACCCGGCCCCAGGTTCCACGGCCGAAAAATCCACAACCGTCTGAACAATCGACTCGGCGAGGGCCCTGCAAAGGCCGGGGGGGTAGACCTTCTTGGCCGCCGTTTTAAACTCCCCCCCCGTCTCTGCTTTACCCAGGAGCACTGAGTGCGCTCCACGTCCATGCGAGCAACGCCCCTGGCCGGGCGTCGCCCTCAGGCGTCGGTGCAGGCCGCTCACCCTCACGCCGACGATCCTCGTCGGTGCCCTGCCAGCCTTGCCGCCGTGCTCGCACTGGTCGAAGTCCGTGGTGCTGACGACTGGGCACGACTGGAGTGCCAAGAGTGGCTCCCATGTCCAGCTCGTCACTGCCTCGCGGCGCCAGTGCGCCGGGATGGGGTGCTCCATCCACGCCGCGCTGCCTGCTGCCAGGTGGTCCGCCATCAGCTTCACCATGGCCTGGAGCAGCGCGTTTCCGACCGCCAGCTGCAGCCTCTGCTTGGGGGTGGCGTGCGGCACCCCCCAGTACTCGTCGTGGGTCCTCAGTGGCGGCGGCCCTGGCATGCCCGACCACCTCGCCGCACTCCACGTTTCACATGGCGGGCCGCCGCCTGTGAGGATCACCTGGTGGGATCGGATGGCGTCGCCGAAGGTGCGGAGGTTACTCGACTTCATCAGGTCGCACCTCTCCGCATCGATGGCGACGTCAATGCTGAGCACCACGATCTGAATCGTCGTGCTGATCTGCTCGTAGCTGATGCTCGCTTCGAGGCAGTCCTGGATGTCGTCTGACCTGCGGACCCCGCAGAAGAGGTTGAGGACAAAGACCTCCCTTCGCCGCGGCCTCCAGGGCAGCTGCTCCGTCGCGATGCCCTCGTATTTGCCCGTCGGAAACTGGTCCAACGTGTAGCGCTCGAAGGGCATGTCCTCCTCCTCGGCTGCTGGCGAGGCGGCCCCTTCACGAGCAAGGAGTACATTCACCGCCTTCTCATCCAGCGCGTAGTCAGATCTGATCAGCGTGGCCGCCATGTGCTTCGCCTCCATGTAGTGACCCTCCTTCAGCAGGTCCTCCCACTGCAGGCGTGGGTTGTGTGGGAGGGAGGGAGGGAGGGAGGGAGGGAGGGAGGGAGGGAGGGAGGGCTAGGGGCGATTCCTCCTCCTCCCCCTCCTCCTCCTCCTCCTCCTCCTCCTCCCCCTCCTCCTCCTCCTCCTCCTCCTCCTCCTCCTCCTCCTCCTCCTCCTCCTCCTGGGGGGCGGGGGGCACCTGCAAGGCGCAGCGTGTCGCAAGGCGCAGCGTGTCGCCAGGGCCGCCGCCGCGACACGCATGAGTGGGGCTCAGGCGGTCGGGCCGCGCCTTTTTCAGATCCAGGCCGGGGTTTCGCAGGCGAGGCCAGGCGTGACCAGAAAGGCTCCCTCGTTCCTTATTTTATGCGCTCCTCCTGGGAGGGCAAGGATGGCAGTGCCCCCCAGCAGA